GAAGGGTTAGGGGAGGTGAAGGGAAGTCCGGAGAGTGAACTATTGCATTGATGGGAGAAAGAGGCGTGAGTGGAGCTGATGAAGGGATAGCATAAAGTGTTGGAGGAGAGAGTCGGGACAGAATGACAGGGAGAGGCGGAGGGTAGTGGAGAGGTGGAGGGGGAGGAGAAGAGCACCGGGGCAGGGATAGTGTGTGTGTAGTGTTGGAGGCTGTGGACCCCAGCGATGGTGAATTGACCATCACTCACTGGGTCTGGCCCGTTAATTGCCATCCCCGGGTACTGTGCTCACACACACACACACACACACACACACACACACACACACACACACACACACACACACACACACACACACACGCAGACACGCACGCACACACACACACACACACACACGCACGCACGCACGCACGCACACACACACACACACACACACACACACACACACACACACACACACACGCACGCATGCATGCACACACGCACACACGCGCGCAAACACACACACACACACACACACACACACACACACACACACACACACACACACACACACACACACACGCACGCACGCACGCACGCACGCACGGTGCCTGGTGGAGGCAGACGCTATACACAGTTTAAAATGTAGATATGATAGAGCGTAATACGCTCAGGAATCTGTACACCGGTTGATTGACAGTTGAGAAGCGGGATCAAAGATCCAAAGCTCACGCGAGCAAGCACAACTAGGTGAGTACACACATTCTCTGATAAGAGCGCACGCACGCGCACACGCACGCACGCACATACAAATTACAAATAAACGGGTAGTTACAGGTCACTGGAAGAACAACCACCACACATAGCAATAACTAAAACAAAACTGAAAAGTGTTATAGGAAATGTAGTTTTGGAGGAGGATATCAGGTAATGTAGAAACACAGTGAACAATTCCCACCAAACAATAGAAGGCCCAGGGCAACGAGACTTGTGTAAAGGTAAATGAAAAACAGCCTTACTGGCAAGGGGAGCAAGGACTAAAATTATAATATTTAATGATTTTTAATCACAGGCAAATTGGTTGGAGATAACATTGCAGTGAAAGCTAAGGACCAACTGTAGCTGTTATATGGCCATGCTAATGGAGGGGGGGGGGAGCTCTGACGGTGCCTGGGTCTCTTCCAATCTCTCTCCTCACCTCTCCACCTTTTTCTCCCCTATCCTCCACTCTCTCCTTCCCTCTCACCCGTCTCCTCCAGTTTTATCCCTCCCCCCCCCCTCTCTCTCTCTCTCTCTCCGTCTCACTCACAGCAAACAATCCCAGCAAACACAACGTTACCACAATGTTAATTTTACAACAATATTTTGATGCAACATTGCAACAACCTACCATAAAAAGTTGTGGTTACATTGTACCTTGGGATATTATGACTTTTTTTTTATTAGTACATGAGGTACATCTGCATTAGTGCAGCTGCCCTAGACTATATGAAGTGAAGTACAGTGTGTCAAAAAAGCTAACTAGGTGATGCTATAAAATCCCCATCACACAGGATGGTTAGTCATACAGAGGCATGTGATAAGCAGTCTGCACTGGCAGACCCCGGATGCATTTTGAGGATATTAACAACACAAGAGTGAATAAGGTAGCAGTGGTAATAAAAGTCCCCACCTCGCAGGATGGTTAGTCATACAGGGCCATGTGTTTAGTAGCTTGCACTAGCAAATTTTGGGTATACTGTGAGGATATCTTCAAGAATACGAGAGTGAATAAAGTAATTGCAAAGCTCCAGGTACCTCATGCCAACTGGTCTGAAAGGTCTAATAACTGGGCATTCAGTGATGTAGTGCGGGAGATCATGCCGTAGTTCCTGCTCACAGAGTTTGCAACTGGAGTGCTCAGGATTGGGAGACCCGTCACCTGCAGCCACCTGCCACAGGTAACGGTAACCCAACCTGATCCTTGCAACCACTGTGTCGCACAGTCTAGTGGACGTTTTGTGCTGTCCATAGATGTAGGTTTCAGATCTGAACAAATCATAGCTTTTTATACTAGTACTTTCAGGTCGTTGGGAGTCAGTAAGTTCTTTCCTATCAGATCTGATTGTTTGGACCAATACAGTTTTGACAGCAGAGATGGGGATACCTAGATCTATTTCAACTTCAAACTTATGACCAGCTGAAAAGCTTTTTGAAAAACTCCATGGAAAACAAAAACCCCATTTCATACTTGGAAGGAGTTACTGGCATTTGGAGTAGGAGCTGATCATTCTTAAATAGGGGCACTGGGGGTCGACTCAGACTGGCCTGACAGTCCCATACAATCCATGGGTCATCTTGAAAAGCATCTGGCCTCCAACCTTGTACAGACACTCTCTTTTAAAGCTTTATAAATAACTAGAATAACAACAGTAAGAGACAATGTGATCAGGTTGAAAGACATGGATGAATTTGAGGAACTGAATAAAAGATTTCAGATCTTTACAAAAGAACCAACATGGAGAGCAAGGTAGCAGAATAAACGACCCGAGGTAAAACTGGATGACACAGTGCAGGCGATGAGTCACAATGACGTGGCTAAACTATGTTGACCAGACCACACACTAGAAGGTGAAGGGACGACGACGTTTCGGTCCGTCCTGGACCGAAACGTCCGTCCTGGACCAATTTCAAGGTGATCGACTTTAGAATGGTCCAGGACGGACCGAAACGTCGTCGTCCCTTCACTTTCTAATGTGTGGTCTGGTCAACATGACACAGTGATCACTGTAGAGGATAAAAACTACCTGACAGAACTACATGGAACAAAGTCAGTTGGACCCGACGTTATCTCATCACAGCTGATGAAGGTGACATCTTGCACAGGTTCCGTCACCCACTGACTAAAGTTATAAATAAAACCCTCGAGACAGGAAATCTCCCAGAAATGCAGCAAAATGTAAACATTGTCCCAGTTTTAGAAAAAGTGGACAAGCACAAGGTGCTGAGTTACAGACCAGTGTGATGACCAAACCATACATTAGACAATGAAGGGACGACGACGTTACGGTCCGGCCTGGACCGTTATCAAGTCGTGGAGTAGAAAGAGAGGAAGGGACAGTTAAAACAGAGAGCAAGATGAAAGGTGATTAGCAAGTAAGAGAAAGAAAGAAGGTAAGAAATGGATGAAAAGTAGGAATAAGAAGGAAAGAATAAGAGGAAGGTAAGAATAATATAACAAGTAAGAGTAAGATGAAAGGTAAGAATAAGAAAAAAGGAGGTAAGAATAAGAGAAAAGGGCAAAGCTTTAGTCAGATGACGTTTGTTAAGGTTAGAGTATTAGAGCACGTAAATGCTCCTCTAACCTCTGTATATTACACCACCCGATAACGGTCCACCACAGACCCAAACAACACTGTTTCTCCAATTTTTTTAAGGTGTGGTTTGGTGATCATATCTACAGCCGCGTTATTGTGACTCGTCGCCGGCATACAGACCAGCGTCACTGACAAGTATTCTGTGCCAGGTGCAGGAAAACGTTCTGAGGTCGAGAATGACTAAACACCTGGAGAGGATAAACTTTTGTAATAGATTAAGAAGGGGTAAATTGGTGCCGGAGACACGCGATCGAGATCTATGACGAAGGGTGTATACTAAGACAGGGAAAAATGAGGTCTGGTTAGACTGTTTTTTTCCAGATTGTCAAATAAAGCATCTTGTCTTGTACATCAGCAGCTGATGTACAAGATGGAGGAGCAAGTTGGGATGACTGGGAAGAGGACTGGGTAAGGACTGTGCAAAAGGCTGCCTGAACAACAGAACAGTCACAGTTGGAGACGAGGTTTCGTATTGGAGGAATGTAATAAGGGAATTCCCAAGGCTCGAGCCTGGGGCCATATAATGTTCCTAATTGACATGAATTACTCGAGGGAGAGAGCTCATTCGTGTCAATCTTTGCAGATGACGCAACACTAATCCTCTATATAAATATAAATGTAAATGTTCGTTTGTTTAAAATCGCTAGTCTCCGAAAGTTCTTCGCCGATTGCTTTGAAATTTTGACACAACGTTCCATTCGCACACGAGCGTGTTTTTATATACCTACCATATAGATGTCACGTCTGTGACAGGTAAAAACATGCTTTCTTTGAAAAACTGTGTTTTCATGTGAGGGAAATCTCCAAAACCTCTTTACCAATTACTTTGAAATTTTGACGCAACGTTGCATTCGAATATGCGCGTGTTTTATATACCTACTACATACATGCCACACCTGTGGCAGGAAAAAACATGATTTTTTGAAAAATAGTGCCATCTGTTGGACGTAAGAGTAACACACGCTATACTAAATATGTTACGATTCCAGTTCAATGTTTCCGATTGCATTGGTAAATTGAATTTTCATATATTTCGAATTATTTTCATTTTGATTTAATTATTTTGTGTGACAATGCATTGGAATTGAGCTGTGTTGTTTACCATACCGGTCATTTCCTGAGTAGTTTATTTTTTATTTTTTTTATTTTTTTTATTTCGTTTTTTAAACTGTTTTCCTTATTTTTCAGTGATGGGAACATCAGATCATTTGATCTCCCCATTTTTCTGATGGGAACATCAGATCATATGGGAACACATCGGATGAGGGAGTGGGGGATGGTGGGGAGGACGAAAGGATGGCAGTGGGGGGGACGGGGGAGGGGGGTAATGGTGGGGAGGACGAGGGGACTAGGGAGTGGGGGATGGTGGGGAGGACTAAGGGATGGAGTGGGGAATGATTGGGAGGATGAGGGGACGGGGGAGGGGGGATGGTGGACAGGATGGGGGGAGGGGGAAGGTTGCCGTGGCTCAGCAACGCGCATGTGCCACAGCAACGCATGGCCGGATACCCTGAGTTACCTTGAGGTGTTTTCGGGGCTTAGCATCCCCGCGGCCCGGTCGTTGACCAGGCCTCTTCGTTGCTGGACTGGTCAACCAGGCTGTTGGACGCGGCTGCTCGCAGTCTGACGTATGAATCACAGCCTGGTTGATTTGTGTGTGCAG